ATAGATTTGTTCCTATGAACTTATTATAGGTGGATAACTATCCATATTTCTCTTCTTTTTTTTTTTTTGTTAATCCTCTCTTTCGACAAATTAAAAAAAAAATTCTTTTTTTATCATACTCTCAATTAATTAATTTCTTAAAAATATTAAGTTTGTAATGTACTCAATTCGTAATTAATAAGAGTAAAATGATAAATTCACTGTGTTAATTATTAACTTTTTGATAAATATATCAATTAAAAAATGAACAAGTTATTAATTAATATTTAGTTATTTTAGTTATAAATTTAAGACTATTAACAAAGATAAATATAAAAAATTATACCTGATTTATATTTTAATTATTTTTAAAAAAATATAAAATACCTCAATAATTTAAACTAGAGAAAATAAAATTTAATCTAGCGCATGCCGAAAATAAATACTACTCCATTAATACTTTGTTTCGATAGGAGAGGATGCTGCCTACCTACCTATTTATCTCCGCCTTCCCTTCAATTTTCCATGTGACGTTCTTATGTTTGCGTCAGAAATTACCCCCACATCTTTTTCTTCTTCATTTCATTTTTTTCAAAATTTTGTTCATCCAAATTAAAGTAGTAATTTCGAGTATTCTGAACACGACCAGTTTTGTAATTTCGAAGTCATATATATCTGAGGCTAAGCCTGTCCTTTTTTCTTTATTGTTCTAACGTAAATGTAGATGCTTGTTGCTTTAAATAAGGTCGTAGGCACATAATTTGCAATACCACATCATCTGCCAAATATGATGTTTTAACCCTTTTTTTTTATTCTAATAAGAGATTCAGTTGCATATGAATTTCTTTTCCTTTTAGAAAAAAATTTAATACAACAGTTTGTTATAATAAAAATAACATCCTATACACATTTAAGGTTATATATATCAAGTTATAAATATATTTTTCAAAAATAAATTACTTATAACAGATTATTATCGAGTTATAGCATATCAATTAAAAATATATTTAATTAAAAATAAACTATAAGTAATTATTTAAATACTAATTAATATGTTTAAATATTTATTTTTATTTTTTACAATTAAATTTTATTTCAATTTTTTAAATAAAATAAAAAAGAAAAAAAAACGTTTATGTATAAATTGGTAAGTAGCACTAATTGTGGGATTTGAATAAATTTTAATTAATAATAGATAATTAACAAATTAGCACATATTAAGGAATTCAAAAAGGATTTAAATTATTTAGTTTCCTTAAAATGCTCAAATTAGTTTAAATTAAATTAAAACATGATTTTTTTTTTCATTTTTTCTCTTTATCACCTTTTAAAGCTTTTAATATAAATAATAAATTATAACTAATTAAATTTTACATTATATAGTTACCTTTTAAAAAATGAAATCTAAATAATAAGGATTTGATTTTAATTAATTCCGTATTATACGGCTGCCCAATAACTATCCACCCCCATCTCAACCAATACATACGCATACATCTTCCCCTAATACACTCCATCTCCCCAACATGCGAAGATATTTTGATCTTCCCCAAACTCCTGCCTCACTCATCATCTCTTTTCAACACGCAAAGATTTTTTGTTCTTACCCAAAGCCCGCCTCACTCATCTTTCCCATTATTCCTCTCAGATCTGTTCATCCCAAAACCTAAACATCCCTCTCAGATCAGTTCCCCATTCAGTTCATATAGAATATCTAGAAAAGGTAGTGAAATCCCAAGTAAAAGTAAAAGATTGGTCGATGAGTCTGATGACTTTCATGTTCCTTCATTCGACATATTGTCACAAACTCAAACGCAGAAATCAAAGGAAGAAGAGAAGTGTAGTTCAGTTAATTCGAAGATGGAAAAAAACAAAATCAAAGAGGCAAAGGAAAGAGGCAAGAAGAGGAAAGGAAAAGAAATTAGAACATCATCATAATCCAATTTTTGCTGAGGATTAAAAAAATACAAAATCAAAAAAAATAAAAGGCATTGAAATTGATCGATCGATAAAAAAGTTTTCAAAAAAAGCATCAGAGACACAAGCTACAAATAAACCCAAAAAAGTTGATAAAGTCAGTAAAAAAATTATTTCAAATTTGAATTACAACGTGTTGTGTTAGTGTATTTAATTTTTGCTTTTATTTGTCAATAGTATACTACATGAAATTTGTATGATATTTGTATGAGTTGAGTTTTTAGTATTCTATATTATAATTATATATGAATATTGAATGATTTAATGTTGTATGTTTTGTATATGATATAATTTGAATATATCAGTGTATGATTTGATACAAAATAAATGTATTAATTTTATATGATTTGTGTATGAAATAATTGGTCATTATAATATAGGAGTTTATGCATTATGTATTACCTTTGTATCCTATATGTATAAAATGATATTCTTGTCCAGTAAAATATGTGTATGAATGATGTATTTTAATGTTGTGTATCCTATAATTTTAACTATTATAATAAATATTGCAATTGTATATTTTATTTTTTGATTATGATGTATGAATTGACGTATTCATACTAAATGAGATTAGTTTGTAGTTTAAAAGTCACATATTAATTATTTTTTTAAATTGAATATGTATTAATATTGTTTGAATTGTGTATGAACTGAGGCATATAGTTTGTATGATTTCTGTATGAATTGAATTAAATGTCCATCGATATGTATTAATATTGTATGAATTTTGTATATAATTTGTATGATTTGTGTATAAATTAATTGAATGTCAATTTAATATAGCATTGTATATATGATTCTTTCTATGGAATTTTATAGTATATAAAAAATAATAATTTAGTTTTACAAATTTTATAGGAGAAGAAGGTTCAAACACATTTATCTTTCTGTATCAACATGATTGTGTTCGCTGATTTGTTGACCTTCCTCGGTCAAGATAAGTTTCAGCAATTTTTACAAGAAATCTCATTTGAATTTTTTTATGATTTACATAACATAAAAATTCGATGTCAATTGTTGCGTCATACTTTCCTTCTTGAATCTGAAACTGGCAGGGATGACATGTTCATTATCAATGTAAATAGTACAGAGTTACATTTTGACTTAAAAGAGTTGGTCGTTGTAATCGGTCTAAGATCTGGACCAATTTCTGATTTTGTTTCTGATTCATCTGTTCCAAATAGATTAACTGTAGAAAATTTTAGATACTTTGACAAAGTCCCCAAGTCAAATTTTTACCACAAGTTTAAATTGGAAAACTTTTGGGAAGAAGATGACTGTTTATAATTAGTTAATATAATTCATACATACTTCATACACATTTAATATATCATTCATTGTCCTACAAACTACTCCAATTAAACAAACAGAATATAATTTCAATACAAAATTAATACAAAAACATATATTCTAATTTCAATATAAACTAGAATATTCTTTTTTAAAAAAAAAAAGACTTTCATAAACAATTGATACACGTTTCATATACTTTTCATACACTAATAATACAAACTTCAGACTTCAAACACGATATACGTAACATAACTATTTCATTAAAAAAAGAAATATACAAACTGTTTCAGATAATACAGTTATTAAAAAAATCGAACACTGTTCTACATGTAAAAAAAACATCAAGTTAATTAAAATCAACAATTCATAATTAAAAGAAACAAATCATAATTAAAACCAACATGATGAATTTCAATTTCCACCATGTTTAATTAATATTGACATAATGTTCTCCATCAGATCAAATCAAATTGTTTCAAACGCCAAAATTTATCAGGTTGCTAAAAAAACGAACTGAAATATGCAAATATGAAAATAATCGTGAAATTTTGAGAAAAATGACTTCTACGTTGATACCAATCTGAAAATAATCGTGAAAATTTGAAAAAAAGATGAATTGTAATGATGATGCAAATAGGTTTCCAAATGCCAATGTGAAAATAATCTGCAAATCTGAAAATAATCGTTAAAATTTGGTATAGTTTTTTAAGGAATTAATCAAGAAAACTAATATCATTTAAACTAACTAGAGATATTCAAGGCAATGATGCTAATCTAAATTTTTTTGATATCCCTAAAAACGTGTTAATCTAATATTAATTTTTAATTAAAATCCCTTAAACATGCTAGTGTACAATTTCAAAACGTGCTAACTACATTCAATGTAATTAATAAAATATCCTATTTTCCATTATTAGTTTGTCTGTGTGTTAATTAGGTATATTTATTATCAATTGTTAGTTTATTTCTTTTTTTTTAATTAATTGTTGATAACAATTCTTTTTAATAAATTATAATTAACATTATATTTATTATATTTATTAATAGAATGCTATAGATTGAGATATTAAATGTTATACACTGAAATTCAGACTCTAATGCTATAACTTGAGAATATTATTATATAAAATGCTATATACCTAATTTACACTTTGTTATATGTTGGACTGATTATTTGAAAGAAATTTTGAATAAAGTTTTGCAAAGTGATTTTATATGAGTAAGTGAATATTCTCCGCCCACAATTTCTTTCTTTTTGAAAAAACATATTCAAACATGAATTATACTTTTCTTTTGACTAGCTAGAGTTGGTTTATCACGTGTGAGGCGCTTAGTGCATTCTGTCTCAGCTGACCATTTTTGTTTGACTAAAAGCAAAAGATGATGATGTTTTCTTTGGTAAAAATTATCTCTAATAATTGAATAGACGAAATAATTTTCAAATTTTTGTACGTAAAAATGAAAATTTCTTGTAACAAAAGAAGCTTATAAAAGATTACATAGATTTCTTGTAACAAGAGACATATAAAACTAAAAAGAAGCTTATAAAAGATTATCTCCCTTCCCTTGCCTTGCTGATTTTCATTAAAAGTTGGCAGAAGTTTTTTTTTGTTAACTTAGATATTCAAGAGATTAAAGTCATCAAGCTCTCGTAGCTCAGTTGGTTAGAGCACCCGTTTAGTAAGCGGGAGGTCTTGAGTTCGACTCTCAACGAGAGCAAAATAGGTTTTTTTCCTTTTTGTAACTCATTTTTTGGTCCAAGTAAATCTAATTTTATTCCTCCAGATGATTCTCTAAAAAACTTAAATACAGATCATACCAAACATAATACACTAGTACATATTGAGACTGATCATATACTGTACTAGAGTCTAGAGGATCAATCTTTCTAAATGGAACATTTATTAACGAAGATGGACAAACGAAACATCTTCTCTACGTTTACGTACAATTGAACTAAGAATTCTCACTGACTTATCAGTTTTTGAGTGGATCTTAGCACCCTTGCAGGTCCCGCCACCTCAGATAAACCAATCCAGCGCGGTAATGCGTATAAGCCCCTGCCACCACGAGTACATGAAATAGTTGGTGGCTGTGGCCAGCAATGTCAAACTTCCCAGGCATCCATCTTTCTGGAACTCTCATGGCATATACCAGTGCTCCAATGCCGTAAAATATGCCCATCAAAAGTTCATATCCAGTCGTATGAAGTGCCTCAGGTTGGTGCCAAAACAAAACCAGCTTGTGCAGAATAGGTACCGCACCTGACAGGCCCATTCCAAAGAATAGAGATGCTCGAATAACTCGATATTCGGGAGTCTGGAACACAGGAAGTAGGGAACCCAAGATTGTGCCAATTCCCAGGAGGGTAATAAATCCCAGGTACAGATTGCAAAAGAAGGGGTAACACATGAAGGAATAATAGACCGGAGGGTAAAATGAAGTTGATATCAGGGCAGCGATACCAGCATAGTCGAGCCTCAACATGATGTATGATAAACGCTCTGAATGGCAAGAAAGTAAATGACATGTGCTGCTTGCTAACAAACAAAACATTGCCCCACCAAGGAAGGCATAGAATGGCCAGCGAGTTATTGGTCTCACCAGCAATGGTGCTAATATATTTGCCACATCTTCTTTTACACTCCGCTGCAAAGATTGTACAATAGTGAAATATCAGTTTACTAAGAGGCAGTCTTAAATTAGGTCTTAGGCCTAACTTACTCCTCCCTCAAAAGCTAGGCCTAACTTACCTCTTAGGATTTAGGCCTAATTCACACCCCAAAAGCTAGCTCAAAGGGAGGAGGATTGCTAAGCCTTAAAAGGAGTCCACCCATCTCATTAACTATTAATGTGGGACTTTATTGCTTTAACATGCAGCCTAAGAGTAGCTAGTTGATATGCTATGGCTTAGTGGAGTGATCCACATTAGACATAACAGTATTACTATTAACTGTGTCAATTATTTATAATAATAGAAGAATTCTACATTACTATGTTTTCAGTTATGAAAAATGAGTGGGGTTGCAACCAGCCCAGCCCCATAAGAAAAAATCAATAAATTATATAAATTAAATACCACAAACATACCCTAACAAGAGTAAAAGTAAACTTCAGACCAGAGACAATCTTATCGATAATTATCAGAGCAAGGAAAACTTTAGATTACATTTTTCAGGGGTGAAGTATTAAAAGCAGTAATATCATTTGGAAGAATTCTTATATTTAAGCATCAGTAGTAACTCCAACTTTCTAACAGTTCCATGTCCTCTTTTTCATTAAAGGATGCATGACAGGTCCATGAGATGCACACTCCACAATGGACTTGTGAATTCCTAGCCAAGCAAATTCGTCTTGATAGCATTTATTACAGATCGAAATGGTATCAATAAGATGAAATCGAACTAAACAAGCAATACAATGTGTCCGAATAATTATACAGCAACCAGTAGTTGAATAAGGCATTCTTACCAGTACACAAACATCTGTATGGTTGCTGTGGGAAAATCGCTCAGGCAGACAGTTGTGCAGGAGGTCAATAATATGCCAATTAGAGGGTGAACGTAGCAAACCATCTCGAAGTTTGTGCAAATCAGGCATATACGGCAAAGAAGGAAGACAAGTTAAAAGTTCTGCTTGTAATTTGTGCAAATCAGCCTTCCTTAGCACATCAGGCAGATTCTGTAAGGAATGTAGATCTACAACCTTGGGAACTTTGGTTGCAGTATAAATTGTGAGCGCAAGGAAGAGGAAGAACCCTATCAAATGCCTATAACAAGTAGGAAAATCAAGATCCTGTTCAGCAATCTGTTATAGCTTCTTTTTCTCAATCAGTAGGTCAGGATCAGGATAACATAAACAGAACATTTGGCAAAGCAATGAACCAAAGGAACCAGCAGTTGCCGCTTCAGTAAGGAAATTCAAAGAGTAGAGCCTATGGTCAGCCTAGTACCTAAACACCTTCTAAAGCACAATCATAGAATGCATAGTTTACTCTTTGAATATGACTTACCTAGTATTTGTCATCATTTTCTAAATTTTTGTGGCAACTGTATAGATCAGTTCTCCTAAGACAGAATGTAAATGACTGAAGTAGCAAAACACTTCATGTAATTATCATCAAATTTCTATTAATCATAACAATCGATCCAATAACCCTTTCAAACAAAGAATAATAAATGGTACATTTTCAGCCTGTACAGATCCTCATCTTAGAACAGCAGCTAAATGACTGATTGACCCCTTTTCAACAACTTAAAGGACCTAATGGGCTAATACTTCCCACAACAATGAAAGATGAAGAACTTTGAGTCCAAAATTCAATTAATCCAACACATATATACGTAAAACTTATCGCATTTTCTAATCGGGGAATAGTCAATTAAACAAAAGAATGTAAACAGGAAGAGAAAGGCACAAGTATCCTATAAAAAAAATGAAAGCGGAGTAATAAGAGGATTGTTAAAAGTAACTCTTACGTCCAAACATTGAGGGTCTCATTGTGAATTGTGAAGATGCTGAGCAATGCTTGCTTCAATGGCCATTCGGCCCGGTAATGACCCAGAATGTATTCGTTGTCTTTCAAATACCCAGGCAATGAATGATACTCCACAAGCTGGTACTTCACTTTCTTCCATAATCTCTTTCCTTTCCCTTCCTTGGAAGGAGACAATAATTCATTATCCTCCCTTGACCCATTACCAGTCAATTTCTCTTTGCCCTTACCCATCTTCACATTCAATTTCTTATCTGTCAATACAAAAATCCTGATTAAGCTAAACAAACAAACAGATCCGAGTCCTAACAATAACAAAATGAGAATTGCGTAGAGAAGTTGCTAATACAACATACAATTCAAGAACCCAACAGAGATGATAACGTGTTTCTTGATCGTAGAACCCTAACCCTTAATCTTTGGACGAAATTAGGGGATGCGATTCTTGGCATGAACAAGAAGAAGAGGAAAAAAAAAGCTCTTGTGAAACCAAATTTATGGGGAATTTAATTTCACAAGAAACTTCGACGTGGTCGATGCAACGTATACCTATTAATACAAGACGCAAAAGACAGGGCCAGTAAATTGAGAAACGACTCATCACATTTTCTTTTGTCAACAATAAGTTCGAATAGTTAAATAATTAAACTATTAACATTTTCATTAATAAAACCATTAAGACTAAAATGCTTCAAATTTTTCTTTAAAATCAATTTTTATCTCGTTTATGAAAACACATAGATTAGGTTGGGGCTGTTTGTCTGATTGAAAATAGATGCTGACGTGATTTTGTTTAATTGTTTATGGTTTTGGCACGATTATATACTTACAAAATTTATTTGTCTTTTGATACTTACAAATTGCATGGCATATTATATTGCATGTTTTTTTAAAAATTATTTAACTGTATATTCACATGTTATTTAAGTATTTAATTACTTTTAAACAAATGTAGCGATTTATTTAGACATTTTATTTAACAAAATTAAAACAATTGAATGTACTAAAAAGTATTCTTAGAGCTTGACATATTAATGAACACATCTAATTTTTAGAATAAACTTGATTCATTATTAAATTTATGAAAATAAATATGATGAATCATAGGGTTTATTGTAAAATAATTAAAGAAGCTTTTTAAAATTGTTAATGTAAAACTGCTTAAAACTTTTGAAATACTATTGTTGTGATTCTTATAACTTTTTAATTTTTGACGGATCCGAAGTTGTTGTATATACTATAGTGGATTAGTGGCTATATATTCAAAGTGGAGACCAAAAAAAAAGAGGAAGATATTAGTACAAGCAATGATTGAAAGTTGCAAACCTTACGATGGGCCATGTGTTATTGGAACTTGGCATATTCCAAGCCCAGTTGATTTATTATTCTTTTGGACCTAATTGTCATGAACAACCACGTATCATGACAACTATTCGCCACATATTTTGTCACGTAAGAGCCAAGTAAATTTCATAGGAAAAATACTAAAATGCCTTCGAAGATTTTATAGGCATACAGAATTCTAAAGAACTAACAAATATCTCATCTTTCTTATTCAATAGTAAACTAATTATCTTAATTGTATATGTAAAATCATCAATAATTTATCAAGTGTTATGCCAATAGTATCGTATAAAATGAATGGAAAAGACATTTTCTTAAATAATTAATAATAGATCATATTAACCTTAATTTATGTGAAATTTGAATTTTGCCATGTACAAAGAAAAAATATCAAATAGAGGGGGTAAAATTAAATTTTGTAATGGAAGGTTTTTTTTTTTTCGTCATACCTTAATTACGTGAATTAGATTTATGTATTATTCATACACTTCAATTTTTTGTGAGTTAAAATCTGCAAAAAGAAACAGAGGACAAGCTAATATGCACATGTAAGTCACATTAAATGTGGTGACTGGTGATTGATTTGGCCAATTCTTTTGACCTGACCACTACACGCAAGTGCTTGCTTACAGAGAACTAAGAATAGGGACACTAGCTAATTGCAATTTGAGGTTGTTTTGATTATGCTACCAAATTTCATTAAGAAGATAAATAAATAAATAAAAAGTATAGTACACAAAGAAAATCAAGAGCCTCCATCTATAATATATATATACATAGCAAATAATTTTAATCTTGAATTATATTGTTAATTACTTATTGACATGAGAAAAGTTAGCCATCATGACAACAACTTGTGGTTAGTAAACGGTGTGTTTAGCACTTCTAAGTGGGTCAAAGTAAAAAGGTGGAACGACATATATACAGAGAAATCCAAGTGGATTTCCAAAGATATATAGATGAGTCACAATAAACATTAGACGATAGAGATTAAAATTCACAATGGTCATCTCTTAAGACCAAAAAGAAAAAAAGAAATATTTTTTAATTTTTATAACTAAGCCGTCAAACACCATCGGGCTAATTCATATAGGTTTAGACATTTTACGAGTCAGATTGTGTTAGCCCATTTTTGGTGTGGGGCAAAAAAAGGTCGCTCCAACCCACAAGTACGTGGGCTACAGGCTTGTCAGGTCAGTCTTTTTTAAAAAAAAATTATATTATTTTTAAAATTATTAAATTAAATTATAAATTATAATTTAAAAATATTATCATAAATATCGACAAAATAATATTGCATGATGTTAATGTTACTATTTTTAATCAAATCCATAGATAAAATTATTTTTATAATATTTATTTGTTCTTTTTCAAGTAAAAGTATAAATAACTAAATAAAAAATATTAACTTAACTGTTTTGAGTTTGAGCTCTCTTTAATTTTAAATTTTAATATTATATTATATTATATTTTTAAATTAATTTTTATTGGCCCACGGGCCGGCCCTACTGATATATCTCAAGCCCCACAAATCAGTAGGTTTATTTAAGTTGGGGCTAAAAAACTTTTTTCAAATGTGCTCCAAAAATCATAGTTCACTCCTATTAAATCCCAGGTTAGGTCAGGCCGGTCCAACGGGTCTAATCTATATTGACGGCTCTAATAATAACACGCTTAAGAAACTCACATTTTTATTCATACGTCTGTTTATATCAGTGAACTTTTAAATTTCTTTGTCCATGTATTTATTTCATGTCAAGATATTTTTAAAATTTAAACAACCATGTTTTAAAGGTATTTTGCAGATATTTTTCTTCGTTTAGTCTTATATCATTAAAAAAAAAGGGCAAATATATGAATAAAACAATTGCATTACTTCTAGTCAGAGGCGTATCTAGAGGAGATGTCGTGGGTTTATGTGAAATCATATTCCTCTCTCTAAATATATATATTAGTGTTATATATTTTTTAAAAATATTTAAATATAGATGTGTGAATTCATGTTTAAAGTATCATATAATAATACAATGATTGGGGCACTTGTCTTTTTGATAACCCTCTCCAAGTCTGTTATATTTTTGACGTTTTAATTAATTTTGCTTTTTCTTTTTGCCTTTAATCTTTCAAAATTTTCAAATATATTACATTGAAAATTTCTAAAAAAATTAGCTCTATAATTTTTTTATATTACACAAGTACCCCTTCAACCATGCCCGAAATTTTAGAGATACACTTATATTATACTAAGATTCTATTATACCTCTGAACTTATTTTATTAATAATTTTCTACCTTTTTCGGCCTACGTGGCACTATCTTGTGGGCCCAATGCTGGTTAACTTTTTTTTTCAAGTTAGTGCCACGTAGGTCGAAAAAGATTAGAAAATTGCTTATAAAATAAGTTCAGGGGGTAATAGGTCGTATAGTATAAGTGTATCTCTGAAATTTCGGGCATAGATTGAGGGGGGTATTTGTGCATTTTCCCTTTTTTTTTACAGTTTAATCAAATGTGTATATTTTAATTTAAAACTTATAGTACGTCTATATTTTAGACCTATAAATTTTAAATTTTATGTTTCATATCAAAAATTTAAATTCAAATTGATCATATATATATTTAAGATATTTTTTTTTTATAATTATGCACTTATCTAGTCGAAATCTTAAATATACCTTTGCTTATGATTTATTGAGCCTCCACGTTAACTCTCAAAGTTGCGCTAGTTATTCTTTATTTTTGGTATTTTTCCTCTATGGTGGCACCTTTTGACTCTTACGAGTCTACTCTATCTTCTTCCTCTATTTTTCTACTCCTTTTATCTTTTGTGGTGTACCAAATTAAGAGATGAATGTGGTCACCAACTAAACATAGCATGCACCAACCCCTTATTTTCAATTTCTTTTTTTTAAAAAAACTATGCAGGCCCTTTAATTCATCACATTTGTTACACATGTACATTATTAAGTATGCCAAAACATAAATTAGTCATCATAACATAAAGTCCAAGACGACCCAAACACTCGATAAGGCCTCTAATTTGTTAAAAATCCAAGCTCAACTCTTGGAACTACATATTGTTTAGGCTATCGGAGAATATAATGTACTTATGTCATATTAGTTGACTGGTTATATTTTTGAATTAAAAATATTTATGAAGTGAAGTATCGTACAAATTCTCTAATTAAGTAAAGTTATGTTGTATAGATTATTAGAGTTCGAAGTCAAAAGGATTTTTTTTCTTCTTTTAAAATGCCTAAACGGCCATTAAAACTTTTTTAATACCAAAATAAATAACTCGATTTCCTAGCATCAAGATCCTTTCTCAATTATAACACCATTAACAATGTCTAAAATTCAATCTTTATCGCTACCGGTGCAGCAATTCGACTGATATTTTTCTTCTGAAATCACTAAAGCAGCAACGATTTCATAAAAAAAAATACTCTAATATGTTTTCTTTCAATTTTTTTTTATAAAATAAAGTATCTATAGGAGGAACGATGTACTTGATTTTATTTTTAATTATTTGTATAGTTGAGTAAGATTATGTATTAATTTTATGAAGTAAAAAAAAGAAATAATAATAATTGATACCATTTTTTAAAGGGAAAAATATATTCTTCTTTTTTAAGAAAACGAGCTTAGGACATTATAAACTTGTTTATTCATGCCGGTCTAATTCAATTGTCCTTAATGTAATATCAATTTTAATATAAATTTAAAATCATAACTTTATTGTTTTAAATTTTAAAAATATTTTTTTTAATCTTATGTTCGATCAATTTATATCCCATAAAATTAAACGCAAAAAATAAACATATGTTTCTTACTATGTCGGTAGTACAATACAAGCTTCCTTAAAACAAAAACTACCTGTCTATTTTGCTATAAATGTGCATTAATCATTATTTTTCCTTTGTCGCACAAAATTTTAATTAGTTGAAAAAATTACTTAATGTTACTTAGCTTCGTGTCACTGATTTAGTCATCCAAAAAGTCTCTCATTTTCTCTTATATTAAATAAAAATAAAATAACTCGCTTCATATACGGTTAATTTTCTTTATACATGGTTTAATTTGTTTTTTATTAAAATAAAAATGTTAAATATAATAAAAAAGTAGTTACCAAAAATATTGACTATTAATATAATGTAATATTATTGCAGAGAATGAATTTTATAAAAAAGAAAATTAAGTTTGACTATAAATAAAAAAACCGTGCTACAATTGGGAAGAAAACAGATGCATCAATTTTTGCCCCTACAGCGAAA